AATACAAAAACAACATCGCCTACGAAGAAAGCATCGACCTTGGATGACGTGCGTGCGAAACTGGCGAAAGCAACTAAATACAGCAAATTTAATAAATCAGGTAATTGTCACAATGTTGTAAAGATTATACATTTTTTAATGACAATATTTTTTCTTACAGAAAAGTTTAGTAAAGATATTACCCAGCGTGTTAAACATTCAGAGCCACAATTGAACGACGACTCACAGGATGCTAACGACGAAAAAATACGTACAATTGTAGCACAGGCACAAGAGCTGCTCGAAACCAACTCCATCAATCAGGATCAATATAAGAATCTCATGCAGAAAGTAATGTCCATAAATGAGACGAGCAAATTGAAGGAGGCAAAGAAACGTGAATCGCTCGAAGGCAGTGCTGCAACGAAATCCAAGCAAATTGAAGAGGACGAAGAAACGGCCGAAGAACTACGCGCCGCAGCGGCACGTGAAGCTGTTTTGAAGAAACGTATACCGAAATTGCGTAGGCCCTCAGCACCAACCAGCGACAATAATGCCATTAGTACCATTCCTACCGCTGAACTAGTCAATAGCAGTTCTGCAACAACACGTTCGCCCATTTATGAAGAGCGCAGCAATGACAATAGCGATATAGGTCCGTTACAGCGTTCCAAACCGCAGCGAGAAAAACGCTTAAAACCAACAAAATGGGGTGAAAAAGTGGATGGCGCCGCTATCACAGCTACTATGCCGGGCAATCCAAATGCGCCTAAACCATGGACGAAGGGTAATATGCTGCGCCCACATCCTAATATCGGCGGCTTCCGCGGTGGACCACCGCCAAATATGCCCATCATGCATCCGCAAATGCCTTGGCAAATGCAAATGCCGCCTGGTGTTGCGTCCGGCGGTCCGCCATTCGTGAATTCTGGTCCAATGATGCGTAGCGGTGTACCGCCGCCACCGCAAGCACCAATGGTGCCGATTATACCACTACCACCCAACATACCAAAACCGTGCAACTCAATCGATAATCCGCAAGCCGATCTGGTGCGTACTATCACTATCGATGGCCTCTCGAAAGAGATACGCATTTACGATCAGGTAGCCATTGTGTTCATGGAATTGGATCAGCCACGTGAAATCGGTTTTCAGGCGGGTCAACGTTCGATCATCATTGATGATCAGCCACCAATAGCGTTGCAATTCAATGACGATTATAAAACTTTCAGCATTAACGGCCAGCCACATCGTTTACGTTTCGGCTTTCCGTCGCGCGAACTGTACATTGACGATCAGTGGTATGAGATATATTTCGGTGGACCACCCGTCTCAATTCCCATACAAAATAGAATACATATACTTAAAGCTGAAGGACCGCCACCACAAGTGAATATCGGTGCGCTGCGTCGAGATTTGGTTGTCGGTAAGATCAATATGATTGTTGATGCACACATTGTCATACCATTGTTCCTGGATGCGAAACCGCAAAGCTTTAAATTGGGAAATCAAGATCACAGTGTACAATTTGCTGACAACTTATTGACAGTTTTGCTGGATGGCGAGCCTGCCAAAGTGGAGTATGGCGGTTTGCCGAAGAGCTACGTGCTGGGCGGTATAAGTTATTTCATACGCTTCGGAGCTTTGCCGCAAGGCTTGAAAGCCGGACAAATCGTAGTTAAGGATATGGTTTATGTTAAAACCGAACCACCAACACCGGAGCCAATACAAGCAATCGCGCCAGCCAATCAGGCAATTGATGAACCGCTACCTGAGAGTACACAAACAGATATTGATAATAAGACTGAGGCAGAAAAAGAAAAGGAGGAAAATCTTATGGACACAGCCGATGATGCTAAATTGCAGGCGTCGTCAAACAAAGCAACCGACAGTGCAGAAGCAACGGGTGCGGTTAGTGAACCTGAAGTCGTTGGTACAGCCGGCAGTGGCAATTCGGCAATACCGATATTCTCTGCAACTGCATTAAACAAAATTAATATCGACGAGCTGTTCCAGAAATTAGTCTCCTCTGGCATTTTGGGTGGCGCTGGCAATGTTGTAGCACCTAGTAACAAAGATGCCGGTATTCTGCCATCAGCTGCTGCACTTGAAGAGGAGCCACCACAACCGATTGCTATACGCCCAATCGACCTGACCAAATCGGAAACGATTAAAACACGCCAATTGGCAATTGTGGATACATTATTCTCCGGCATGCAATGCAGCAGTTGTGGTGTGCGCTTTCCACCAGAGCAAACTATCAAGTATAGTCAACATTTAGATTGGCATTTCCGACAGAATCGACGCGAACGAGACCTATCACGGAAAGCGCATTCGCGTAAATGGTATTATGATCTAGCCGACTGGGTGCAATATGAGGAAATTGAGGATTTAGAAGAACGTGAGAAGAACTTTTTTGAGGCGCAACAAAATGATGTCGAAGCATCGGACGAGACGTCAAATCAAAAGTGGCTCAATTCACCGGTAGCACTTAGTTGTCCGGCTTTGCCAGCAGATGTCAATCGTGTCTGCGATATGTGTCAAGAGAAGTTCGAACAATTTTATCATGAGGAAACTGAGGAATGGCATTTACGCAATGCGATACGCGTGGAAGATAAAATATATCATCCGTTATGCTACGAAGATTACAAGGTAAAGAAAAGTTTGTCTTTTACGCTTTTGACTACAATACACATTTGCATATCCAAAATAGGCTGCCCTGAATGCTAAAGTTGAAGAAGCCGATGAAAAGGCAAAAGACAAGGCTGCAGAGGAAACAAATACCGATGATGATATGATTATCAAAATTGAAGGCGATGATCATAGCGATGGTGAGAGTTTTCTTTTCTGTATTTCGTAGAGTAGGAAGATATGTTTAGGACTAAGGTAAACCGTAAGAAATATTACTGAATTAATTTTTTCAGTTGAAGGTGCAAAATCATCAGACAATGCAATAGAAGATGACGACGATGATGTTATCGTATTGCCTAATGAGGAACCCTCTGTAACAGAAATTGACGATGATGATGAATATGTACCGGAAAGTGTACCACCAATCGCAGATAAAGATTCCATTGACCTTGACACTGAGAATAACGGCGCAGAATCAGTAGACGCAGATGCAGATGAGGATGCCGCTGGATCAGATGTGGAAATACAAGAGCCGCACATTCCATTCACAGACTTGGATACATATGTGGAAAAGGAACAAATAGATGCCGACGAAACATCACAAATGTCATTCTTAAATGTGAAAATTAAAGAAGAACCAAAAGATGACGATGAGGATGAAGATGACGGTTTTGAGGATGTTGGCACTGTGCTAATAGCACCAGATGAAGAGATCTCCATACAAAGCAGTGGTAAATGCAATATAATAAAATTCATATTAGTTTAATTTCATATTGGTTTTTTGCTAACACAAATTGTTGATTATTATTTACAGAAGAAACACAAACTCAAACAATTACGTCATCGACGTCGGGCATGTCGCCTACTGCCGAACGGCCACCCTCCTCTCAATCACTTGTTCAAGTCGATACAACGGAATTTACTGATGGAACTAGTACCAATACAGTAACCGCAACGCCGATTGACTTGAATACCTCGATTGATGGCAATCCCGGCACCGAAGACGAACATAATTTATCCACAATTGGTCCATCACCTGCGATACCATTGGCTAGCTTAGTTAATAAAATTAAAATAAATATAGCTAAGAGTAGTATAACAGCAAATAATAGTAGTACTAGTAATAATAGTAATAGTAATAATGTTGGTAGCGCCTCTGCGACAGGCACAACAACTGCAACGACAGCCAGCAATATGCTGAGCAGTCCAACCAAAGGCTCAACGATGTCTGATACGCATACAGGCGTTGATAATAATGACAACACTAACGTTGGTGGTGGTGAAAATACAACGCAATATAGCCACATATCAGCCATAAGTGTTGTATCCACAATACCGGTACTTTGTGGCGGCGGTACGACCGGCGTACGTACCACTACCCTAGCGCCGGTGGTGTCGAGCAGCAGTAGCAGTATAAAAAATATAGCTGTCAATGAAGAGTCCAATGTAAGTACGATATCTGTCATTGGCAGCTATGGCAGTACATCCTCAGCGCCGCGTTATTTCCCGCCATCAACTACCAGCACAGTTGTGCCGACTGTTGCGAAGCGGCAAACAGCACCACCGCCAACGTCAACGCCACCGCCGCCACAAGAGGAAGCGTTAACATACGAATTGAAACCGGCTTTGCAGAATGTCAAGCTCACAAAAACGAAAAAAGTACAATGCGGCATCGAGACATCGGGGCTCTGTTCAGTTATGTAAATGACGCGAGCAAAATTGTGGCACAGTATTTAAAAACTAAATGAAATGCCATAAAGGGTTTAACATATATATTTTTCAACTTTTGAAACGTTTTGAAATACCTATCACTATTTCACATTGGAATGTGAACGAGAGAAATTTTACGCTATTATACATATGCATATACATATATAGAATACATACATATGTACAAGTGGATATGAGTGGATATGTGTATTATGTTATATGATATTTGGGAAAATTACATACCAACGTTGAGGATGAATTATTATTTTAGTATGAAAAATTTTAAAACAACAACAAAAACATTACTGTTTTTAGTTTAATTTTTTTACCTTACTTTTAGAAATATTGAAACACATAATTTTGTTGAATTCGGCGTACTTTTTGTTGGTGCGCTTGCGCAAATGAATGTGTGTGCGTGCGTGCGTGTATAGATAAGCGTGTGATTTGAGTTTAATGTGTTTATACACACTTAAAAATACATTAAATAGACGCACTCGGTTAAACATGACTCTATACAGGCCAACCAGCAATTGCATTCTCACTGCAACATATTTGAAGTATTTATACCAATAAACAGAAAAATAAAGAACATTTTGTTATTACTTATTTACTTTTTTCATATATGATTTGTAAAATTTTCTTCATGAATAATATAAATAATAAACTGCATTGCCTATAAATATAGAACCAAATACCAAACGGTCTCTTTATTTTAGAAAATTCTCTAGTAAAATATGGTAATTGAGTTGGGATTTAAAGTTTTTTGAAATTTATTGCAGAACTGTTGTTGTTGTAGTGACAGAAATCCGGGTCCGTTCCGGTTACGTAGATCCGACTGTCGTGAGAACGGTTTATCGCAGAACTGATAGGCCTTGGTGGTATATAAATCGGAACCGTTTAAACTTATGATTGCCACTGAAGAGTAAATTCTACAATGTGCAGATCCTGTGAAAATAATACAGGAATGACAGTTTGTCCAGATTATGAAAGATCATATCATAAGATGCGTATGGCTCTTTTGTTGCGTTAAGCTAAGTTTTAGTTACCGAAATTGGTAAGAGTTTTCAGTGTAATTTCATAAGTAAAAAAGTTCCTAATAAGTTATTTTCAAGCCTGAATGGATAGAGATAAAATTAGCCACAATATAAAAAATAGGAAAAGCAACATACTAGCCACTTCCCCCTTTCACCATTTTACGATGGAACGTCTATATCGTTTCTACAGCGTATAATTGATCCTCGGCGATAATACGATGTTCTGTTTATGAACCCATAGACGGGTTATAAGCTAGCATAATTTATAACTATAAATTGGCTCTCTTTCACCAAAAGGTGTTTGATGGCGAATCGAACAAAGAACTAGCATATGTAAAATCGCTAATAATGCCATGCGATCTATGCAGTTATACCACTTATTCCGGTACCCACATAATCTCTTATATTGAATTCAACTAGAGAACTTTGTTGCTACTTTTACAAGTATTGGTGTATGCATTAATTCGTGCGGTTTTTTTTTAACGAAAATTAAGACTTTATTGTGAAAAAATTGTTATACATTTAATGTTCAAAGTATTGCCCATCGGAAGCTATGATGTTTGCCCATCTTTCTGGCAGTTTGTGGATCCCATCCAAAAAGAACTTCTCCGGCTTGGAGGTCAAGAAAGAATCAATCCAATTTCTGATACCCTGTTCTGAACAGAAGCGTACTCCGGTGAGGGCATTCTGCATTGATCTGAACAAGTGGTAATCGGAAGGTACTATGTCTGGGCTATAAGGCGGGTGAGGTAGAACTTCCCACCCACAGTCTTCCAAATAGTTTTTAACTGGCCTTGCAACATGTGGCCGAGCGTTGTCATGATGAAAAATTATTGATTCGTGTCTGGTCGCATATTCTGGTCGTTTTTCCGCGATAGCCTTTTTCAAACGAATCAATTGTTTTCGGTAGAGGTCCCCATTGATCGTCTGACCCGATTTCAATAGCTCATAATAGAGCACACCCTTGTGGTCCCACCAAATACATAGCATAACCTTAGCAGCATGGATATTCGGCTTTGCCGTGGATGTTGATGGTTGGCCGGGCTTCACATACGATTTCTTGCGCTTTGGGTTATCATAATGAATCCATTTTTCATCGCCAGTGACAATCCGATGCAAAAACGACTTCTTTTGGTGGCGTTGAAGCAACATTTCCGACATGCAGAATCGACGTTCGACGTCTCTTGGCTTTAATTCATAAGGCACCCAATTTCCAAGCTTCTGGATGAATCCTAATGATTTTAATCGTCTGGAAACGGTTGCTTGATCAACTCCTAATACTTTTGCAAGTTCTTCTTGCGTCTGGCATGCATCTGCGTCGAGCAATGTCTCCAATTCTTCGTCTTGAAGTTTGTTTGGCTGTCCGGGTCGTTCTCCGTCGTCTAAGTCGAAATTGCCACTTTTAAACCGTGAAAACCACTTTTGGCACGTTCGTTCGGCTAAAGCATGGTCACAATAAACGTCCAGTAAAATACGATGGCTTTCGGCAGCACTTTTCTTCATGTTAAAATAATGAAGAAGAACTCCCCGCAAAAACACTTTATCTGGTACAAATTTTGACATTTTCAAATGAATGAAACAAATTGTTGTTCACGCTCAAACAATTTATATCTACTGAAAACGACTCGAAATAGCAGTACCTTTGAAATGAATATAGCCACAGATGAATACGACGCGAAATAATACTAATAGAGCCCTCTCTTAGAAAACCGCACGAATTAATGCATACACCCATAATTTGTTTTTGTTTTGCAAGAAAGCAGAGTACAAACATAAAAGGGTAGAGAGTAGCGAAGAGAAAACGACAAAAACTGAATTATTGAATCACAATTATCGTTATAAAATCGATAAGTCGTCGATTATAGTCGATTAGCCATATTAAAAGATACGCGCCTAGTCTGCAAGTTCTTAAGTTCATTTTAAGTTGTTTTCTATATTTTGAATAAATAATGCGAAATTCTACAACACCAACGCACACTCTGAATTTTCCGGAGCAATTAGAGTGTTTTGAATTTTGTAATAGTGATTTTGCATGTAATTTGGTAGCGCTTGCTAGTCATAAGAAGATTATATTGGGACTCATAAATTTGCCGGTAAATATTGTGCATGTCAACACACAACATGTGTGTTGGAACGCCTTTTCATACGAAGGAGTATATGAAATATGCATTTGTTTAGGAAGAATCTGGCTGCTTTGATTGGAAGCGTGTGAAGGACTTGTATCACGAAAGCCGTTGTGTTTCACTATGTTTTGCGCCAGAAACTTCATTGGCAGTAGTACCGAAATCGGTTGTATTTTGCGCTGCTGGCTCAGATTTTCGTTTGCGTATATTTCGTACAGATTTGCAAAATTCTGACACCGTTCAAATACTCAATGGTAGGTAGGCATGTAAATTTCCAAGTGCATTAATATTTAATACACCTTATTCCTTCTTATTTACTTAGGTCATAGTAATTATATCAATGAGGTTATATGGGATTGCAATGGCGAGTTCCTGGCATCAGTCGGCGACGATAACACTTGTCGTATTTGGGATACAAAATCCAATTTTGAAAATACAATAACATTTCATTTGCAATCAGCTGGTATGTCGGTAAAATGTCACCCGGAAGAACCACGTAAAGTCGTTGTGGCAGAAAAGAGGGGTGTTATACATTTATACAATATACAAACACAAGCCGCAATAATATCAGTAGAAGCGCAAAAGTCGCCACTAAAATCAGTGGATTGGTGCCCATTAAATCGCATGTGCATAACAGCACTCGTAGCAGGCGATATAATAACGTGGGATTTGCGACGACCAACGCCAATCGATATAAAACAAGTACATGAAGATGGTGGACAAATTGTGCGCATTGCGCCAAATGCAGAGACTGTGGTAGCAAGCGTTGGACGTCCGGATGTAGCAGTTAAAGTTTTCACCGCAAAATCGAGAATACCCTTAGTCGATGCCACGCTAAAGCTGTATGGTGGCTTGTCTTGGCACCACCGCTTGCCCTATATTGGAGTGGCAACAGATCGTAAATTATGTTTATGGAAGTTGCAAATTAAATAAACTACAATGTGTTTGTTGATTGAAAAATTGAAAGCATTTTTTTATTTTATATAAAATATATTTCATTTATCATTCATAAGAGGGTGGAACTGAATAGTGAATGTTTACTTATTGCCGTTAGCAGTTGTAGCCAAATATTCCTTGTAACGCGCTTCTTGTTGTTGCTGCAGTTTAGTCAACTTTTTTAATAGACCTTTGCTTAACTCTTTACCGTCAGCGTCATGTGTTGGCAAACCCTGAAAGTTAACGAGTATATACATATATCGTCCATTTAATTTTTCATTCAAATGTGTGTTATTTTGGTTCAATAAAAGTAAAATTACTTACATTTTCATCAAATTGAGAATATTTATCTTTTTCATTAAGGAACATCTCTTGTGGTTTAATACGCTTCTGCGCCTCTTTAGCGGCCAATAGTTGGGCAGCAGCTTCTTGTTTTCGTTGTTTTTCAGCTAGACGATCTGCCTCGGCAATTTTTTTCGCTTCACGCTCCTTTAATAATACTTCTCGATCCACCAATTTCACAGCATATTTGCCGTTTTCTTTATCCTCCAGCCGCACACCCAAATTGGGCAGTACATCATCGCGTAATTTATCGCACAATTGTAAAATAGCATTTGCTTTTATAGTCTTTGCTTCTTCACGCACATTATTCCGGAATTCGGCTATTGCATCCACATAGGGCAGTAAAGTTTTTTCAATGTTCACATTACTATTAATACCTCCGCCCACGGGGAAACCAATACCACCACGTGGTCCTTCAATAGTGCCGAATATGTGCAGAATATCAGTAATATACGCCGCAATGCGACGCAGCAAAAGGCAGTTGACATGATCTTTGTTATCACGTATGTAGACATTGGTGACGGAGACCAAATCACGCAACGCATCCAGAGTGCTGCGCGTATCAACGTTGTCTGTAAAGCAAGATGATTTATAGAATAACCTTTATATGTTGATGTATTTGTAAACTGTAAGCAATATATTACCGCATAATGCAGCATGTACTGCATCTCGCGTTGTCTTTAATTTGTCTTGCAGGGTAGCTTCCGCACTTGTCCATACGCCAAATTGTGCACTTGGGCAACCACTTTCTATATGCCGAGTTAAATCTTTTACATTTAAAAAGAATTCCTAAAATACATGCATATGTATGGTTACAAATATTTGGTAGTGTTTTTTAGAAACATGAAAACACTTACATTCATAAAACGTTCATATTGGCATGCCATTTCCATTGTGTTGCTTGAGTAATCGAGCGTATCTTTCCACGAATGTAATAAAAATGCAAGTCGCAATTGACAGGGAGTATTCTTCTTCAATGCTTCTTTTATCGAAATGAAATTTTTCAATGATTTCGACATTTTACAACCTGCAATGGTTAAATGACCGGTATGTAGAAAGTATTTTACCCATTCGGCTTGATCAAAGGCGGCTTCCGATTGTGCTAACTCATTGTCATGGTGTGGAAATTTTAAATCAATACCGCCGGTGTGTATATCAAACATTGAACCAAATACGTCCGAAGCCATTGCGGAACATTCTATGTGCCAACCTGGACGACCTCTTCCCCAAGGACTGTCCCACGAAGGTTCACCTGCTTTACTCGCCTTCCAAAGTGCAAAATCGTTGGGTGAACGTTTTTCAGAGAGACGCTCCGCTGTGAGCGACAAGTCTCCTTCACCTTCTTGCAATGATTTCGTATCACCATATGCTTCTGGCACAAGTTTAGCATAGTGATGTTTTTCGCGTTTATCAAAGGCATTCACATCAAAGTAAACCGAACCGTTTGCATTATAAGCAAGTCCGTTATCGAAAATTCTTTGAATAAATTTGACAATCTGTGGTACGTATTCGGATACACGGGTAAGTACATCTGGCGGTAATATCTATAAAATAAAATATTTTTTACAAATAAAATAAATTTTTGCTATCGGTTTTTTGGCAAAATATTAACATTAAGCGCCGCCATATCTTTGTGATATTCATTCTCCCAGTATCGTGGCAATGTTTCGAATATAGCATTATCCGTAACAGTAGAGCCCTCCTTGCGATCCAGCCACTCGGATATGGGATCTTTTGCTTCGGCCAAATACAAGACGCGCGCTTCATCTATCTTTTCTGGATCATTACTGGCTACAGCCATAATAAGCGTTTCCATTGCATCATTCATTTTTATTAACATTCGTTCAAACATAATTTTTTTATTGGGGTCGGTCGTTTCTCTGCAGATTACATTGAATTGGTCCAATACTTCTTTTTGATCTGCTAATAATATGTCCAGTGTTATCGTGGTGGCAACATTCACATATCTTTCATAGAGATAGTTTTGTCTTGCACGTTTAATGATCTTATCATCAATATCGGTTATGTTCATAACATAAAAAATATTGTAACCAAAATAGTCCGAAAGTATTCGTCGCAAAATATCGAAAGATATGTATGACCTAGAATTGAAACGTTATTATATCTCAATGGTAATGACAGCAACAAGGAATATATTTAGATATATATGTACATATAAAGCGTCTATGGTATGTAGGCGGACGTGGCAGTAAATTTTAATTTCTAATTTACCTAGCATGCCCCATGTGCGTTGCATCGTATACTGTTGGACCGCAACTATACCAGGTCACATTATTACCATCCAGTGGCACGAATTCCTCCTTTTGCCTTGTTAAGCTATTGAACAGCCGCAATTTTGGACGGTCTGTAGTTGCTGGCGGCAGCCATTCTGGTTGAGTTCGTTTCGACATACTTGAATGTTTCGCTACAAATTATTATTTTTGTATTCGTTTGGATTTTTAACTGAACTCGATTTTCACAGTTAATAGCAACACACTCAATATAACTATATCTATATATTAAGCACCGATCAAGCAACTTTCAACGTGTAACAAGAAATTGCACCAGCCAGAGAACATTGACAGATGTGTACATATACCTCTAGGAAATAAAAAACATAAGATCAGCTGTTATTTATGAATATGTCAACAGAAAAAACAAGCATTTGCTTTTGAGAAATTGTAATAGCCCTTTTTCAACAGTGAGCACTCAATAATGAATGCAAACGTTAATGAAACATATAATTTCAATTTTATTTTCATCAGTGTAAAATTTTATATCGATTGACGAGAAAAGATTATTAAAAACAAAAAAGTTTAAATATAGTATATACCTAATTGTTTTTGTAATATGTATACCATATTTGATTGAATATGTATACCATATTTGCACCATCGACGAGATATCATAAGAAAAGCAGCTGTTAATTCATTTTCGATACAATAATAGCTATCGATTATTTTTTGCATTATTTTTGCCTCCCTCACTTTTTGTTTATCTTGTTTATCACTTTTCTGATAGGGGTAGTTTATTCAAAGTATTCGGCTGTGTACTTCCGTTTAGGCTAGACGCATTTTAATACAACTGGTGGTTTTAAATAAATTTGCAATTTTCTAAATTAACATTTTTTTTAATGGGGAAAATTTTGTGTTTGGGTTATGAAGTATCAAGGGTGCTTTTAGGATGGTTAGGTGCAATACTTTCCATCATCGGGATTTTGATGCTTTATTTCTGTCTGGAAAATCCGGATGTGGTGACCAAGTGGTTGATATCCTTAGCAGATGACCAATCCAAGATTGACTACAATGAAATGCGCAGGGGTAAGTCATATGTTATTTATGCGTACATAGACACATACATTTATACATATTTGTATACACACATATGCGTATATAGATATTTGCATGCTGCATAAATACCTTTCATCCATACTAATAACTAACTTTGAATTAAATATTTTGGCTTATTGCAGATGTGGTTTGGTCATGCGTGCTGTATATTGTCTTAAGTTTTATAAATTTAATAACATCCATTTGTTTGATATTGGGCATCAATAGGGTGAGTTAATAACATTGTTTTTGCATTACACTTTTTTTTTCTCAAAGAAGAATTGCTATAAATCAATGCTCTTAGATTATACATAAAATTCAAGGGTTTCTAATATTATGTATACATACAAATACATAAGATATAGTGAAGATACCTTGCTTGTATCTTTTTTTTTTGTTGTATATGTATACATATGTATGCATTGATGCAGATATACATGGATTTGTTTATTTCTATACAAAAGTCCTGTAGATGGCTGTGAGCACACACACACCCGCTTGTAAAGCCATACCTAAGATATATGGCTTTGTGTGCTTCAACACTCTGCAGCATCAATTTATTTAATAATTTTATTATTTGCTTACATGCATACATTTGTATGTGTTGTTGTGCAAAACAAAAACCAATACATTTCATCATTCTCACAACTTAGTTCCATTGTTTCGAAATAATAACTTCTTGAAACAGGATAATAAATAATAAAAGAATTAACAAAAATTTTAATTCCTTCAGATACTTTCACTTTATCGGAGTAAAACTTAGCAAAACTAGTACCATCAACGCGTTTGGATTCTCATCTAAAATTTGTCGAAAAAGAACTATACTTTTTATGGTCCCTTTGGAAACCTCCTCCTTCTCTGTATATACGCGAACTAGTCCTCAGTTTTTGAGAAATCGGTCTGAAATTTTGCACACATTACTTTACCGGCGGTATCAGACCACTATTCGATTTAGCTACTATACAAACTGATCGATCAAAATCAAACTTTTGAATTGAAAACTTTTTATTTGGCAATTTATCTTTACGAAATTTGGCATAGATTATTGAAAAAGAAAACGTTACAGTCTCCAAATCGATTGTTCAAATCGAATCGCTATAGTACTTGTATATACGTATGTAGATGTGTATGTACGAACATACATAGCTGTTTCAGTTATTTTTAAGGTTTTGCTTTAGAATAAATAATAATATTGTTCGAAACTATAGGCCAACAACTTTTAAATACATACATTTAAAAATTCAATATTTTAAAACAACAAATTTTTGAATTTATTATTATAATTGATTTAATCTCATTTCAGTATTGTATACCGTCCTTGAGATATCCATTCATACGTTTAATAAAGAAACAGGAGAAAGTTGTGAAAAATAAAAGCTGCAAAGCTTTGCCAACCGGAAGTGACCGTCCAACACAAACATTTAATGTGTAATATATCACACATGAAACATACATACATATGCACACCAACAGATGTGCATAGGTATGACGAGTATCCATCTCCGGAGCACATGTCTACAAACTAAACTAAATTAAATCAATTAAACTTATACTTAAATTTACAAAAAATCACTTATATACATACATATATAGGAAAATAAACTAACACAATCATTTTCATATCAATCATACATGCATACATACAAACAAACAAATACAAATGTAATATTTACATGTACTTTTCATAAAAAACAATTAAATGTAACCAAAAAAAAAACAGAAACGAATGAATCTATTTCAACACACGATCATACAGTTATGTATGCACATATATTTTATATATGAAATGCATTCGATTTGATAGGCATATACTAGTGTGTACATATGTATATGCTTGAGTTCAGTATTTGATGTTGGCAACGCGAAATGCATTATTTTATAACGGCTAATAAACTTTAAATGGACGCAAGTTTTTAAGTGGGTATGTATTATAAGTATATAGGCATTTTCTTTTTATTTATTTTTATAGAAAACTCTGCTTCCACAGTGCTCATACTTCATCATTCAATGCCAAATCGAATATTCAATCGCCGAAAAGAGTTTCTAACCTTAAAGCAGCCTTTTAAGAGGCGACTTATAACCAGTCTGATCCGTATGACAGTTTAAAAGCAATACAATCCGATCGAATTTGACCCGGACTGACAAAACAAAACTACATTTTCACGTAATTTAATCAAATCTTTATTATTGCCTTCAAAATAGACTCCTCAGCCAATACAAGCATGCCGTAGTCTCATACAATTTTCCATATACTTGTCACAACCCTGTGACTTTCAGTGGCTTTAGCGAATTTCGACTTATTTTTGGAGCGCCATTCGCTTGATTGTTTTTTCTATCTATTCGGCTTGCGCGCGTAGTTTAACTGGACCAGTCCGGGTCAAATTTGATCAAATCGTATTCTAGAATTAAACAAAGAAAAAAAATCGACCACATAAACAATACCAAAGATTTTAAATAATTTGAAATCTCCTTGAATCTCTTTAACAAGCGTTTCTATCTTATTATGATATTGCAAGTTAGTTTAAATTTGTTTACACTAATAGGAATTCGAATATTTATTTCTATGTTATTTCACAGCCAAGTCAACATAAATCGAATAAAACACGAAATAAATAAATCAAAATATGATTATCTCATCCAGGGAAACACTCCACGGCAACTAAGTCGGTGATCGCTATACGAATTTTAAATATCAAAGTTTAATCAACCCCTTTCGTAGATTTTATTTAAAAATTAATCAAAATTAATTGAATTTATTCCATTTTTATAAGTTAAATAAAGGAATTCATTTAAGTTATTTAAAAATTTAAATGTATTTTGTGAGCTTAACCAGAGAAGCTGGTTCAAACAGTATAGCATGAAAATTTAACAAAGAGTTTGCTTAAAATTTTGTGTTTCGAATGGTATCACGGCTACTAAATCATTGAACATATTGCAGAATTTGGCGTCCACTTTTCGCGAACACAAGTATTTCAATTTCATAAAGTGAAAGTCGGGAAGTCATCGAAAACTTGCCTTTTCCTTGAAAGTCGTCCATTCATCCACCTCTGTTAATGATGAGAACATCGAAAAAGTTAAGGTAATAGAGCTTGAAAATCGTCGGATCAGCATCAGAGAGGTAGCAGAGAATCTCAACATCTCTTATGGAACAACTCAACATATTTTGGGTATGAAGCGTGTCAATCCTACATGCAGATTCGTACCAAAATACCTGAATTTTTCGCGAAAACGACGTCGAGTAGAGGTCGCAAAAGATGTGCTTGATAACGTAGTCAAACGCATCAACAACTGGTGACGAGACGTGGGTTTATAAATATAAAGGCTTATAACAAGTGCATGGGCAATTGTATTAAACAAAGCCTATTTCGAAGGCAATAATATAGATTTGTACTAAAATACGTAAAAAAAAGTTTCAGTCCGGGTCAAATTTGACCAGTTTGTACAAAACATTTAATTTGTGAATTTTCTTCAGAAAACTTAAAGAAAATTTCATCAAAAAAATCGTGTTTAAATTTAACTAAAAAATAAACGAAATTACTAAGTAAACGCTTTAATACTTGGTAAGAAAAAAGCAGAAAAAAATCAACTTTTTCCGACTCGGCAAATTTAAATAATAATATCTTTAATTCCTATAGCAATGCGACACTGCGTAGAAAACGCTAAATCTGACAATCAGCTGTTTCTATACGACTCTACCAGTTCTGCAAACGCCGTTGCTCATCCGTTGTTTGTAATCACTTTTTATTTAGCAGTGCCGTTGTTAAATTTAATATTTAATATAGACAGATATTCATTGGTATTTGATTTATCCTAACTGTTCAAAATGCTGAAAAAGTATTTTTTTTTTCGCCTGGAGACGGCTGCTATGATCATTGGTTGGTTTGAAACAATTGGTTCAATCTTATCAGTGTTGATATTTGGCTTCTGTTTGGGTTATGTGGATGATATTGTCAAGGAAATTATAAATCAAGCAAAAGAAAGTGACCAGATAAATCCTGATGAAGTTCGTAAAGGTAATAAATGTAATATATTATATACTTATGTGTATATGTACATATGTATGTAAGTGATTATTGTGAAATTACGCATTTTCCTATTCAGCTTTTACTTAGTGAATTCTTATCTACTCTTTCGCTTATTTTGCAGTTCTTGTTATTGGATTTGTGTTCTTTATCATGTTGAGTGCAATAAATCTATTTGCATCCATTTGCTTATTATTGGGCACCATTAAGGTAAGTTTCCAATAAGAAAGGCTATATACTTATATATGTGTCCATATATTTATATATTATGTAAATATATATATATGTATATAAATGCATATGATATGAGTATGTAATTAAGGATCTCGATAAAAATAAAAGTCGAATTTTTGGTCGAAAAAGAAAGAGAAGAATGCAGTTGGTGACATAAGCATACATATGTACATATGTGTACATATATATATATGTGTACATATGTATAAAAAAAGAGCATTGTTTCAATATGCCCATATGTATGTATGTGTGTAAATAAACAGTTAAATATGTCTCGGGTAAATATTTGGTATAAAGAGCTTTACAAACACTTGTAGATTACACTATTGCGCTGATGACTCAGCTCAACCGCTCCTATATTAAGTAGAATACGCATCAGAAGATCCCTGTACGAAATGTAAACTGAATTTTTAAATGTAAAAAGGGCGTTTCGCAATATCAAATTATTATTTTAATTTTGCATGTGCAATATGTTAGCATTGCAATTAGAATTCGTATGAGGTTTGCACCGCGACTTAGGGTCTATTGTGCCCTCTTCTCCATCACATGTATTTCCAAAGTCCCAGCACCCTGACGAACTCCAGAAACCTGCTGGGTGCTATTGAGGTAATGTTATCCCTGTCCACATAAATGGAACCGAGGGCCTTGAACCTGCGTCTACAAATTGCTGTGTAATCTAGAATCAGATGTTCTGGTGTTTCCGACTCTATGTCGCAGAACCGGCAGCTTCCACAAGAAGATATGCCCATGTTGGACAGGTGTTTCTTGAGCCTGCAGTGCCCAGTGTAGAGCGCGACAAGGAGCCGGAATTTGTCTCTGGGGAGGATTATCATAGCTTTGAACCTGGCTAGGTTGTTCTCCCCCCATAGCAGCTTAGCATGGGGCATACCTGTTGCTTGCTGCCAGTTACTTTCTCTACCCACTCTCTCCTCAGCTCCTTTATTGTATGGGACCCCACCGAGATCCCATCATCTTAGAAGCAGCAGTAGAGCGGGCGAGTTCGTCATTGCTACAGAGGATAATAGTTTTCTTCACCTAGCGGTTGTTTGTATCACCTAAAAATTATCGAGTTAGATATAGGTATACCTGTATATATAATATATAAACGATCAGGATGATGAGACGAGTTGAAATCAGAGTTACTGTCTGTCTGTCCGTCCGTGCAGCGATATCTTGAGTAAAAATTGAGATACCTTAATGAAACTTGGTAAACGAGTTCCTTGGCAAAAAAGAGACGACGAGTTTGTAGATGGACGTAATCAGACCACTGCTACGCCCACAAAACGCAATTAATCAAAAACATATAAATTTGCATAACTAAACCGCAAATGATAGATACAAAGCCGTAATTTGGTTTAACGAATCGCAATAATAAGTGGCACCTGTAGTTTGAAATAAAAGTGGGCGTGGCCCCACCCCCTAATAGGTTAATGAAATCGGATGATAACCATGCCCACTACTCATGTAACAGTTTTGTTAAAAACTAATAAAACTGCGATAAATCAATAACGAAATGCGTCAGAGAAATTAAATTTTACATCCGACATAACACAAAAGGGCTTTATGGACAATGGGCGTAGCACCGCTCACATTTAGGTGAAATCACATATATCCGAATCTACTCCACCAATTTCAACCACATTTGGTACATAAGATAATTTTGGCATTCCTATGTAACAGTGCGAAAGCACGCCTACTTCCCATATGACACTACTTTAAATTCCATCTGATTGCTTCACTTTCCAGTATACAAATCAAGTACTAATTATCCATCTCAAGTCTAAAAATTGTCAAAATCAGACCATAACTATTCAAGCCCCCATTTACCGGAAATGTGGATCCTAGACACTGAGAGCCTATGGCTGACTTTTAGCCTAAAATATCGGTAAATCTGTGAGATATATAATTGAAATTTGGGGAAAATGTTTTTTTTTGATAATCTTTTTGCCTAAAATGGATAAAATAAAAAATTTTTCAAGCCTAACTTAAATTCATTCTTTCTCATTTTTTCCTTCAGCGTTGTTATGGTTTCTATATAATTTATATACAATATAATTAATATGGGTCCAAGAATTGAACCATGTGGTACTCCATTTCCACCCTTCCCCAGTCTGATATCTTTCCGTTCACTTTTGTCCTTTGGTATCTATTTTCAAGATATGACTTGAATCAGTCAAATTCCACTCCCCGAACCTCATATTGACTATTTTTATTCTCTCGCAACCTGTTGCTACAGAGTATAATAGTTTTGTTCACATAACGGTTGTTTATATCACCTAAAACTAATCGAGTTAGATATAGGGTTATGTATATATAAATGATCAGGATGAAGAGACGAGTTGAAATCCGGGTGACTGCTTATCCGTCTGTCCGTCCGTGCAACCTGTAACTTGAGTAAAAATTGAGATATCGTTATGAAACTTGGTAGACATGTTTCTGGGTACCGTGAGACGGTTGGTATTGCAGATGGGCGTAATCGGACCACTGGCACGCCCACAAAACGCCATTAATCAAAAACAAATAAATTACCATAACTAAGCTCCGCAATAAGATATAAGACTGTTATTTGGTACACAGGATCACATTAGGGAGGGGCATCTGTAGTTAAAATTTTTTTTTAAATTAGGCGTGGTCCCGCCTCTAATAGGTTTAATGTGCATATCTCCTAAACCGCTAATGTTATAATAACAAAATTCACTGGAAGCAAATTTTTTAGAACCTCTACCCACAGTGTGAAAATAGTTGAAATCGGATGGCAACTCCGCCCACTCCCCATATAACGGTACTGTTAAAAATTACTAAAAGCGCGATAAATCAAGCACTAAACACGCCAGAGACATTAAATTTTATCTCTGGGATGGTATGAGATGACTTTATAGGAACCGCGTTCAAAATTAGACAGTGGGCGTGGCACAGCCCACTTTTAGGTGAAAACCCATATCTTGAGATCTGCTCAACCGATTTCAACCAAATTCGGTACGTAACATTCTTCTCATATTTCTATGTTATAGTGCGAAAATGGGCGAAATCGGACTACAACCACGCCTACTTCCCATATAACACCATTTTAAATTCCATCTGATTCTTCCACTTTCCACTATGCATATCAAGCAACAATGATTATATCGGGGTAAAACTTTGCGTGAATAATACGTTTAAAGTATGCCACCTTGTGACCAAAAATTGTCTAAATCGAACCAAAACTGTTCAAGCCCCTAAGTACTAAGTATGTGGACCCCAGTGCCTATAGTTGGCCTTCTACCGAAAATATCAGCCAATCCACAAAGAAATCTTAAACGAGTATACCATTTGGTTACATCCGAACTTAGCCCTTCCTTACTTGTTATACTCTCGCAACCTGTTGCTACAGAGTATAATAGTTTTGTTTACCTAACGGTTGTTTGTATCACCTAAAACTAATCGAGTTAGATATAGGGTTATATATATATAAATGATCAGGATGAAGAGACGAGTTGAAATCCGGTTGACTGTCTGTCCGTCCGTCCGTGTAAGCGCTAACTTGAGTAAAAATTGAGATATCTTTATGAAACTTGGTAGACATGTTTCTTGGTACCGTGAGACGGTTGGTATTGCAGATGGGCGTAATCGGACCACTGCCACGCCCACAAAACGCCATTAATCAAAAACAAATAACTTGCCATAACTAAGCTCCGCAATGAGATACAAGACTGTTAATTGGTACACAGGATCACATTAGGGAGGGGCATCTGCAGTTAGAACTTTTTTTTAAAAAGTGGGCGTGGTCCCGCCTCTAATAGGTTTAATGTGCATATCTCCTAAACCGCTAATGCTATAATAACAAAATTATTAAGCAAATGTTTTTAGCACTTCTATTGACGGTGTGACAATAGTTGAAATCGGGTGGCAACTCCGCCCCCTCCCCATATAACGGTACTGTTAAAACCTACTAAAAGCGCGATAAATCAAGCACTAAACACGCAAGAGACATTAAATTTTATCTCTGAGATGGTATAAATTGGCTTTATAGGAACCGCGTTCAAAATTAGTCAGTGGGCGTGGCACAGCCCACTTTTAGGTGAAAACCCATATCTTGAGATCTGCGCAACCGATTTCAACCAAATTCGGTGCATAACGTTCTTTTCATGTTTCTATGTAATAGTGCGAAAATAGGCGAAATCGGACTACAACCACACTTACTTCCCATGTAACACCATTTCAATTCCATCTGATTCTTTCTTTTTCCACTATGCAAATCAGGTAACAATGATTATATCGGGGTAAAACTTTGCGTGAATAATGCAATTAAAGTATGCCACCTTGCGGCCAAAAATTGTCTAAATCGAACCAAAACTGTTCAAACCCCTAAGTACTAAATATATGGACCCCATTGCCTATAGTTGACCTTCTACCGAAAATATCAGTCAATCCACAAAGAAATCTCAAACGAGTATACCATTTGACTTTGCGAGAGTATAAAATGTTCGGTTACATCCGAACTTAGCCCTTCCTTACTTGTTTTTTATTAAAATCTTCCTATCATTAGTCTCAAATGCTTTCCTAAATTCCAAAATTACTGCAATGATTTTTGTTCGTGTTCCGCTTGACTTCGAGTCTTCAATAATTTAATTTATTGCTGTTTCGCATAACTGATGCGAAAGCCCGATTGGAATTTCGAAAGGAGTTCATTACTCTCCAGATATTCCATCAGTTGTTTTTTGACAAAACTTTCTAAAATTGTTTTCGATGTTTTTTAACGTATTGATACCTCTTCTTCTAAGTCTTCAACCTTCTTTGTTTTATTTATTTTCTTTATTGGCGTTATCATTGATTCCTCCAGTGATTGAGGAAACACTTCTCTCGTAAGCGAATTATTAATCAATTGTAATAGACTATATCCAATTTGTTCCTAATTATCTATCAATATCCCCTTATGAATTAAATCATACATACATTATACAGGCTTTCTATCGTAATTTCTTGAAATTTAAATTCGCTGCATATACAAGTATATGGTTACTATATTTAACAAAGCCAAAGGGCGCCGTGTTATCTACACAATTCAGAGTTCCTTTTAATTTTGAAATTCTTTTCATGGTTGCAATTGCACTCGGTTTCAAATAAATAAATAATGTTATTATCTATTGCAAATATGCATAATACAAGTATAATAGAAAAGTTTGTTTCAAAGGTTGAATAGGGATAAAAACTAGTTAATCAAAAATATTTTGTGCACCGCGTACATGAAGCGTACAACAAATACAGAAAATTGTCCGGCTCGAGTTGCCATTCGAAACATATAATACAAATATATACGACTGATTACACAAATGCTTATGTGCATTTGTATGTTCCGAGATTTTCAAAAATGCATATAAAGTTGATCTTTAGAGATTACATGCATGATTACAAGATAAGCACAGATAAAAAAGTACCATTGCTTTATGCATTCGGTTTGCGCGCGCAGTTTAAATAGACAAGTCCGTGTCAAATTTGATCATAAAAAATTAACTTAGTTATACCTAATTTATGCCTTATAATATTAAGTGTTTTTATTCATAATTTTTTTTTTATGTATTACACCAATTTCTACCGTTAGCTTCTTATACGAGTATAAGTTTATGTATGTATTGTATTTGCATTATTAAGAAATATATTTTTTATTTATTTTCAGGAACGACATCTCTTGCTACTTCCATGGCTGTTTAATTCGCTCTTTTCCCTTTTATTCGCTTTTATTTACTACTTTATTCTAATTGACTATATTATTTCTACGCAAATTCCATTTTCATCTGGTTTTGGCTCGATTCTGTTAATTTCCCTCAGTTTTGGTAAGTATTGTTGTAAATTACGAATTATTAATATCGTAAACAAAAGTTTTTGCAAAGAATGTAGAATAAAACATGATTTTCTGCAATATTATACCATATATAGGGATTTATCTTAATAAGCACATATTTTTATACCTTGAACAGTATATGTATATATGTATATAGCGATTTAGCCATTCCTTCTGTCTGTCTGCATACAAGTACATGCGAATCCTTCCTCAACTTTTTTCCCTGCTAACTTATCAGAACCGCCGATATCAGACTATTATCGCATATAGCTGTAATACAAACTGACCGCTCAAAATCAAGTTCTTGTGTAGAAACTTTTTTATTTGACAATATATCTTCATGAATTTGACATGAATAATTATCAAAGGCAACACTACAGTCTCCATACACATTGTTATGATCGGACCATTTTAGTATATACATATGTAGCTGTCATACAAACTGAACAATCATCATCAAGTTCCTGTTTGGTAATTTTTTTATTTGCGAAGTATGCAACTGAAGCTAAAGTTTTTTCTTGCTATTGGTACATTTTTTTTGAGAACCCCTATATGTATTGTAAAGTTTTTATATCTACGCTCACTAAGGCAACCCCACTCAATTCACATTTTAATAAGAACACATTTGTTTATAATTACGTTTTTGTTTATTTTTTTAGCTCTGAAACTTTACACTTGGTTGGCGATGTATTCACTTTTCAAAAATATTCGCAGTAATCGCGACCAACGAGAGCAACTGCTTCGTCCCACTGGCGGCTTATATCCATCGTATACCAATATGTAATATGAATATTAAATACACTTATCATATGTATATGTTATGCATACATTTATAATATATAACCGAATTGTGCTAAATTGGTTAATATAACCAACACTTAAGAGTATTAATCCATTATATTTAAGAAGGAATAATTTAAAATTTACGAACACTCATACCTATATAAATGTACTTCATTCGAAAACGAAATAAAATACAGTTATACATAATAATATGTAAAAATACATTAACTGCTATAAATGGTTTTTTCTTCTAATTTAAATTGGATATATGAAAATATAGCGATTAAGTAACAAGTGGTGGTTTGGGTTTTTTTGGTGACCCTACTTTTATGCTATCGTCGATAAAGATGGTTTTTTACAATTTTGTTTTTCGTTGCTTTGAGAGCATTCACATACATATGGACATATGTAGAAAACTCCATGTGCTCTATTATTTGGCTCCGTAGCACTGAATCCTTATTAGCCACACTGGCATTTCGAAACTACGCTATAACGGGGGGGACCTACTCTCATATTACAAAACTTTGGGTGCACCCTGTACTATGTACCGATGAGACTTATGGTTCGTTGTTAAGATAGTTGCAACGGATATGCAATGGCTTGTCGAAAATCTGTAAAATAACGGTAGAGGCATTATGTGTCAAATGTTTCTTGATGATGTCTTGAGGGAGATTCACCCCGAGCCCGGAGTTCTTGAAGAGACCCGTATTTTAAAAATTAAGTGAATAGTTAATAATTATAATGCTTTTGATGAGGATTAATTCTAACATTTATTTAAACGTTGTGATTACCGATAAAGGAACGTTTTCTGGCTTTTGTAGATTGTCACGAAAAACCGGCAAAGCTATTGCCGCGCAAAATCACATCCAACGTAAAAATAAGTATGCAGTTCTTTCGAACTGTGTGCACCGCACACGCCTGAATTTGGTTGGATTCGACTCGGCTCAATGCTGTCCTTAACTTTTTTTTGGTTTCGTGTTGTGTTTCAATATTTTTAGTAACAACACACAACGTTGGGAAATTCCGTATATCGATAAATAAATGTTTGAATGAGATGTTTCTGTCTTCTTATTAACTATTTTATAACTAGTTAACATTCATCTGTTCTGGTGTAATCTGAAAAAAATATTTTTGACTGAAAGTCTATGTATGAACTGATTTATACTAGGGCTGTAAACCAGTTTTCGAACCGAATCGTATCTTTTCACTGGCCTTGAACAAAACCACGAACCAAACCGCTTTTAATTTGAAATTCGAAAACCGAACCAGAAATGACTCAAAAAAATAGTTCGGTTCGGATCAAAATGAAAATCCCCAATAAGCATTTTTAAGTATAATTATACATGACATACTTGTACATATGTATGTAAGTATGAATATGTATACGTATGGGTTTTTTGATATCAATTAGTATAAAGAACTGACATTTGAACCGAACCGAACCGCGGTTCAGACATACTCATAAACTGGTTATTGAACCGGTATAAGTAGTCTCTGAGTGGTACGAACCACTGAACCGAACCCCATCGGTTTTTGTAGTGGTTTGCAGCTCTGATTTATACATTATTGATTTTCAAAATCGTACAAACCAAATTTGTTCCACCCAATATCAACATGAAAGCAAATTTAATACAGATGTGATGATAGCATAAAACACTACGTTGTATCGGACTTATTCTGCAACACAGAATTAGTAACTGGAAAGATAGTTAATAAAGTTATAAAGTATTATAAACATTCCTGTATGAAGAGGGTGCTGCTGGCGTATTTTACAAATATCCACCAAAAAGACAAAGCTTGTGATATAATTGATAAAATTAAGGAATTACGCTATGAATTAGTGTACATATTGTAATCACCAAATTGGATCCCAGCGACTATTTCCTCTTTCCCAGACTCAAAAATTGGCTCGCTAGAAAAAGATTTCACTAAAATGAGGACCTCGAGCTAAACACGATCGAATTGGTATCGAATTGTAGACCATTATAACATGCATTACTCTAAGGCAGATTATAAGAAACAATAAAGAGATAATTTGATTCAAAAATACGTCCTTTCATTGATAAGCCAGAAACCTTTCAGCCCATATAGTAGGTCTAATCATTGAATCCGTTTCGATTGAAAAACTTGTCGATTCGATCGAATCCAATTACATTGAAATCATTGAAACCGTATCGAAAAAAAAATTTTCGAAGAAGTTAGACTCACTTATCGACTCGATAAAATACATTCTGTGGCTAATAGATGGCGCTAATTTCGAAATCATTGAAATCGCAAAATCAACATTTGTCGAAATCTATACGTTGATAAGTAAGTTACGGAAATTTAAAAAAATGGGGCATTTGTAAGTATTTATGTAAAAAACTGCACTAAAGTATGTTCCAAAGTGTATTTTAGAGAAAAGATAGAATAACACACCAACAAAAATCTATTCGAAATAAATATGGTAGTTAAGTGATTTTCATAACGTAAAAGCTACGCAAATTTGTCACGTGTTTACATTATCGGTTAATATCGGTACATTCACAGATTTGTATCGATTTTAAGTTTGCAATTAGAAAGAAAGTGGTTACAAATTCAAAACAAATTTCTGGAACATGAGCTGGCCCTGTAACTTGACTCCCACTCGAAAAGAAGATCAGCGGTATATGTACATCAGTTGAAGGATTAAAAAGCATTCAAAATTTTTGATGTTCACCAGTAACTGCAACGAATATTTCGGATGTGTTCTCTGCTAAAATAATATCTAATTATCTTTGAACACAGTTTGAAAATACAATTTCTTTAGTGTTTTACACAATTTTATTCCATTTAGCACGATTCAAAAATTTTTGACCTTTAATTTTATTGGCCAGATTTATTTTTACAAGAGATCAATTGATGCAATTTATTCAAAGCCCCAAAAACAAATTGAATCATCATATTTAACGCCTGACCAAGCAATGGCATCGAATGCAGCTAATGATGTATCCTGTACAGCATACAAAAACCACAAAGTGAAAAAAATAACTATGCAAAAACAGATGGAGGAAAATGTTTCGAAAGTGCTATACATGCTTAGACGGCTATTACACACAGATTATTTTGTAACCCCAGCCGGTTTATTGTGGGCGAGGGGACGACGACGAAAGACGAAGGGGCCGTGCCACTCGTGTTCGGGTGGCACGCATTGTGTTCTTGTTCGTAACAGCTCGCTACTACCCTTTTCAGCATTCCTTTTCACTTTCAAATTCTTTGAACGGTTGCAAGAGCGTTCGGTTTCAAATGAATCTATACCATTCGTTCAGAAATTTGAATTTGAAAATTGAAATGTAATATGCAAATATGTATGCATAGAATAATAGGAATATTTTGAAAAATTGTAAATTAGGAAAAAATTAAGATTCTCAAAATTCAATTTTAATTTTTAATAACATACCGCATAACTGCAAAGAATTTAGTTCGAATAAAACTATGGGATTTTAATACTTGAAGATTAGGAAATTCCTGTTATAAATTTGGCCTTGAAAATATTCGTAGCGGGTATTCAACACATTCTGGTGGATTAGGGAATTCCCGTCTTAAGTATTTCTTTGAAACTATTAAGCGGGTAGGTATTAAGCATATTGTTCTACCATATTCATGCTAATTCATTGCAAGCAAAATGTGGGACCACCATCCCAATATACAAATGAAATGTGCAACACGCTCTAAGTGTTGCGTAGTCGAACCGCACAAATATTTACGAAAATTTTGTGAAAAGGAATGCAGAAAAACTAGACTCGAGTTGCTGGGCTCTTTTTGACCGTGTGAATGCACAGAGCGACACCAAAAGAGAATTTGCCGAAAACGAGGGTCAAAAGAGTCTGTGTGTAAAAGTCGTCTTATGAACATGAAATAAATTATCACAGTATGGAAAATATGTATATGATAAATATATTACTGGAAATGTTGTATTGGCAAACAATACTCGTTTGCCGGTTTTCTCTCTTTCATTCTCATGCACCGATTTATCTCTCCTACAGAATTGCAATAATTGAATGGTACAGCATTTAAAACGAAAAGCGAATAAACTTTTAATTTCACAATGTATGTACATATGTATGTAAGTATGTGCAATGTGCATTTTCGGAGAATTAAGACCTGTATTGTGTTTCTGTTATGGCGCACTTGATTTCACAAAAACGTGGTTTTCAATAATCATACTGCGAAATTATCGTAATCGAACATTAGCCGTTTACTATGAAGAATTCTCGAAAGCTGTTTACTTGCTCAGATAAATATTTGTAAATACAATGCAATGGAGGAGATGACTTTTGATTCTTTGAACGAATTCAGTTTTACGACCGCAACGGATTCTTGCCGTGCTTCTCAGAGCAGAACGGGAAATAATATCCAAGAGCGAATAAGATAGTTGAGTTGCAATGTACTTACGGTCATACATATGTATGTATGTCTTGTACATAATTACTTCCGTGCAAAAAATTGTGGGGGAAAACATTAAAGAGAATACAAACCGATTACTCTCTAAAGGGTACAATTGGAAATTAATCAGTCTCCAATAATCATTAATTATTAATCCCCAATGAATATCTTGAAGTTATAATTGGTGACTGATTAGTTGTAAACTACAAAAATTGATTTAAGGGGTTATATTCACTTATGAATTTCCAAAAATCGTTTTATGTTTCGCATACGTATGTACAGATGTATGCATGTATGTATGTATGGCAGCTTTAGACTAGTGCTTGTCACTATGATCATTTATATATGTACATACATATGTATGTTTATACTTTATAGAGTCTCCGACGTTTCCTTTTGGGTGTTACAAACATCATGGCAAACTTCTTTTTATTTTGTTGTTCCATTTCTACAGTGATAAAGAGCAGAGAAGGGATAGAGTGCATGAGAGAAAAAGATGAGAAAGACTCACTCGCAGCTTTTTCTACTGGCAACGTATCAACTTATTTATAATATGAAATTTATTTATAAGGGAATATCGGAGACATTTCGCAACAGTCACATCAGACGTTAGTAGCAGTCTATATTATTTTCATAATACTCCCGCCTCTAGTGAAATCCACAAAAATAAATTTCTAAAAATAAAGGAATAAGTGTGTAATACTGTGAAAATGTTGGTGCAAAAGTTTTGTTGCTTTCGTTTGGAATCCACTGCGAAATTTTTCGGCTGGTTGGGTATCATTGGTAGTGTCCTTCTAGCTATCATTTCCATAGTCGGCATAGCTAATGCACATGAACTTTCCATAGAATTACAGAAAAGAGGCTTAGATATAAATGAAGGCAGTAAGTGTAAATAAAAAGGGTAAATGTATAGTTTAGGTCCCCCAACTAAGGAGGCCTCAAAATTGAAATTTTCCCTTTCCGCTCACGGATATTATTACTGCGCGTAAAAATAAGACGATTAAAAAAAATTTAATTTTTGAGGCCTCCTTAGTTGGGAGACCTAAACTATACCTTTACCATAAAAACTATAGATTATATTGTATGTAAGTATGTGATTGAACATAAATTTTTAAAACCAGTAACATACTAAATATGTACTATGTGATTGAACATTTATATGGACAATAAATTTTTAATGCCAATAATTGTGTATATTTTTCGAAACTCCAATAGAAAACTGTTAAATAAGTTCCGATACTCATTGTAGTGTTAACCGGTTCGCCTGACAATAAGAAGTTGCTCATTTGTCGGAACCGTCGATATGAATCTACTATAGCATACATATAGATGGTATACAATCAGAATCAAGTCCTTGTATAGAAAACTTTTTATTTGACAAGATGTCTTCATGGAATTTTACAAAAATTATTGTTAAAAGTAGCGCTACAATCTCCGAATATATTGTTAAGATCGAATATGTATATGGGAGATATATGTTTTGCGATTTTCTTTATTTTCACTGTCATTGTTATGTCTGCAAAATTACGTGCTCTTAGCTTTTGAATTAAAAGCAGGTAAAATGCACCTATCTATTAAATTTAGTTCAGATATCTCAAAAACTGACGAAGAAATTTTTATAATCCCAAAATGCTAGACTTCGCCTTAAAAATCGCTGGCTTGAAATTGGTTTTCAACACATAGTCTCTTAGGCAAAGTTGTTCAAAATGATCCGTAGAATATTTTCCGCGATGTTATAGAAAAATATATATCGACCAGCTCTAATGTACGTATGCGTATGAGAACTATTAACTAGCTATTAACCTGGGAATGCCTTTAAGTGGGATGCTTATATCGAAAAAACTTATACAGGCTTTAAATGACGAATAAACGGGACCAAAATACATACATACATACAATATAACACTTAAAGGGGTTATATCCACTTGTAATTTCCAAAATTCATTTGTTTGCTTAGTGTGTGTTTACATTGGGACTCGTTTGTAACCCAAACCGGTTTTTGTGGGTGAGGGGACGACGAGGAAAAACGAAGGGACCGTGCCACTCGCAATCGGGTGGCGTGATATGCAAATATGTATGCATAGAATAATAGGAATATTTTAAAAACTTGTAAATAAGGAGAAAATTAAGATACTGAAAATTTTAATTTGTAATAACATACCGCATAACCGCAAAGAATTTAGTTCGAATATCATGTTATTTAAAACAAGAATTGTAAGTAATTCAAGGATGTTTTATAATAAATAGAAAAAAATATGGAATAAAAAAGTTATTGGTTTTAATACTTAAAGATTAGAAGACTCCTGTTATAAATATGGCCTTGAAAATATTAGTTCGGGTATTCAATACATTCTGGGGGATTAGGGAACTCCCGTCTTAAGTATTTCTTGGAAACTATTAAGCGGGTAGGTATTATGCATATTGTTTTACCACATTGATGGTAATTAATTGCAAGCAACATGTAAGAACACCACAAATAACTGAAAGATGCAACACATTCTAAGTGTTGCGTAGCCGAAACGCACAAACATTTGCGAAAATTTTATGACAGAAAAACTCGATTTGAGTTGCTGGACTCTTTTTGTTCGTGTGCATGCACAGAGCAACACCAAAAGAGAATTTGTCGATAACTCTGCTTTTACACACAGATTCTTTTGTAACCCAAACCGGTTTATTGAGTACGAGGGGACGACGAGGAAAGACGAAGGGACAGTGCCATTCGTGTTCGTCACGCTTTATGTTCTTGTTCGTAACAGCTCGTTCCCTTTCAGCATTCTTTAACTTTAAATTCTTTGAAGGTTGCAAGAGCGTTCGGTTTCAAATGAATCTATACCATCTGTTCAGAAATTTGAATTGAAAATTGAAATGTGATATGCAAATATGTATACAGTAATAGAATATTTTGAAAATTGTAATAACTGCAAAGAATTTAGTTCGAATAAAACTATGGATTTAATACTTGAAGATTAGGAAATTCTGTTATAAATTTGGCTCTGAAAATATCTGTAGCGGTATTCAACACATTCTGGTGGATTAGGAATTCGTCTTAAGCATTTCTTGAAACTATTAAGGGGTAGGTATTAGCATATTGTTCACTATATTATGCTAATTCATTGAAGCAAAATGGGACACCATCAACATACAAATGAAATATGCAACATGCTCTAGTGTTGCGTAGTCGAACCGACAAATATTTACGAAAATTTTGTGAAAGGAATGCAGAAAACTAGACTCGAGTTGTTGGCTCTTTTTATCGTGAATGCACAGAGCGACACCAAAAGAGAATTTGCGAAACGAGAGTCAAAAGAATCTGTGTATAAAAGCCGTCTAATGAGGGTCAAAAGTCCCAATGGGGACTAGTAAGTGCGTTTGCAAGGATGCAAAGAGTCTGATCTTTTCAAATTTTCTTTGGTGTCGCTCTGGGCATTCACACGGTCAAAAAGATCCAGCAACTCGAGTCTAGTTTTCTGCATTTCACAAAATGTCTGTAAATATTTGTGCGGTCGACTGCGTAACACCGCGCAAATATCGTGCTGCGTATTTCATTTGTATGTTGAGATGATGGTCACACATTTGCTTGCAATGAATTACCATGAATATGGTAGAACAATATGCATAATACAAGTACCTACCCGCTAAATAGTTTCAAAATACTAAAGACGGGAATTCCTAATCCACAAGAATGTATTGAATATCCGCAACTAATATTTTCACACAAATTTATAATAGCAATTTCTAATCTTTAAGTATTAAAACTCATAATTTCTTTACTGCGTATAAAATTCATAATCTTTACTCCATAATCTTATATCTTAATTTTCTCCATTTATTTGTCATAATATTTATGTATATCATATATATTAATAATATCTAAATATATTATTTACAATTTATTGATTTAATTGTTAGCTGTTAAAAGAACAAAAGCGTGCCACCCGAACACGAGTCAAGGTCCTTCTGTCTTTCTCGTCGTCCCTCGCCCACAATAAACTGGTAAACTCTTTGCGTCCCTGTCTGAAACGGCTCATACACATATGTATATCAAATGTTTATATAAATTACGCCTCCTTTGCAGAGGAAGTAAAACACAAAGGTTTTTGGTCAGTGTGACCGCACTTTATTATTATCCAAATAAAACTGCCCGTCAATTACAATTTTCCATAGTCTTATATTCTATTTTACATTTCATGACTAGTTCTAAAAGTTGTATTGTCGGCATTTGTAAAGTTGCACTCGTTTATGAAGAATTTTGAGAAATTCTCGAAAAATGAAAGTAAATTATTTGCAAAGTCTTTCGTAAACGTTTGCATAATTGACAATTGTGAATTGCATTTTGTATTTATTTTGATATTAATGTTTATTAACTCTTCCTCTTAATTGATTGTCCTCAATTGATTTATAGTTAATTTAATTGGGTGTTGAAATTTGTAGAAATGTCATTTTCCTACTTGAGACATTATTTGTAGTTATTTGTGACTTTGATACTATATATTTCGCTTATGTTTATAAATCAGAACAAATGCTATGATGAAAAGAATTATAATTAAACATCTGTACTTAGACCAATTACATGTATTTACTATTACCGACTAATATTTTATGTTATACTCATGTGTAGTTGTTTTATGTATAAATTTTCAAGTTTCAAATTTAGTTTTGTATTATTACTTTCGTTTATTAAGTTAGGTAAAACAAGTGTGTCATATATCTTTAGGTTGACATTGGTTTTATTTAATGCATTTATCTTACAGTTCTCAAATTTGATCAAAACTGTTCCTTTGGTTTTATTTTACTCAGTCATGAGTTATTACATCAAGTTTTAAATACAATTATTCCTTAAACAACTCTTTTAGATCAGCGTTTTCTAATTTTCAGTCTGTAATGTGCTTCCTTAAAATCTATGATGTTTGAAATACAGTTATTATCTATAATTAAATTTTTCTAGGCTATCTTTGCCCATATTGTAGATGTTATTGTTGCTATGGTAAGTATTTCTGTTTAATCTAACAATATTGATTTGTTTTGAAATTTGGCAGGGTTCAAATAATTCTTATAGCAAATTAGGAGAAAATTGTATGAGTAGTGTTAATATTATGTTATTATTTTGGAAAAGTACTGCAATTTTTATTTACTATAGCCGTCAAAGTTCATAATCAGGTTTAGTTCCTTTGTGTCAAAATATCAGCAGGAATAACTTCTAACTGCATGAAAATATAATTTGTCCGATGTCCATGATGTGATTTTAAAAGCAATATTGTTAATTTTTAATGTTTAAATTGAACTATCTCGGGTGTTTTAATCTTATTGTCTGTTTCTGGCTCTAAATTTGTTAATGTAATTGCTGACAAGAATTTGTTGTCTATTTATGTGTTTCGTGATATTATAAGTTTGTTCGGTCATAAATTATTTATAAAGTTAAATTATTAATTGTGCTATTAAGAATTGCTTCATTGTTATGTATTTTAGATATTGCTTATTTCCTGTTCGTCATGCTGTCCATGGAACCTGCGATAATTTTCGCTTTTCCTAGGACATTGAAAAGTCCTCGTTTAGATTTAGAATTGATATGTAGGTTATTTATCTGTGTTAATATAGTTTTAGTTAATAATATAGTTTCTTCGTATGAGGTCAGGTTATGAAGTGTAATTTTGTCGTAGTAACTGATTGTATTCTGTTCTCCCGATTTTATGGGTATAAATTTATTGTGGTCAGGTCTTGTATTTCCAATCGTTGTGCTTCCGTCACTAGTATCTCATGGAAATTGCCAGTAGAATTTAATTTTGTCTTAAAGAAGAAGATACAAATGTTCATTTATCTGTAATGTGGTTCAAGATTGTTTGATATTGTTTTATGAACTTCTTCCTGACTTGGTTATAACTGTA